GGGGGAGTGTGTGCAGGGTGTATATGTATATGTGTGTGGGAGTGCAGGGTGTGTGGTGGGACTGTTGGATATGTGTGTGGGAATGAGGGGGTGTTGTGTGTAGGAAGGTGCATGTGGGTTGTGGGTATATGTGTGAGGGTGTGAGGTGTGTGTATGGTTGGGGTGTGGGGTGTGTTTGTGGGTATGGTGGGGTTTGTGGGAGGGGTGTGGGGTATGGGTATGGTGGGGATCAGGTTATGGGTGTATGTATGTGTATGGTGGGGTGTGTGGTTGGGGTGTGGGACTGTGTTGGGTGTGTGTGTGGGTGTGGTGGGGGTGGAGTGCTGTGGGGGCTTGGAGGGATGTCTGGGGTATGGGTGGGTTGGGTGTGCCTGTGTGGGGGCCTTACCCCCTGCCTGCTGTTTGTTATGTGCATGAGCCCAGACCCTCCACGGGCAGCAGGAGGGACTGAGAGGTTGGTGCTGCCTGCCTGGCTGTCAGTATGCTGCAGGAGAAAAGCAGCTGGCACCAATGTACAACAGGAGAAGAGCCTGCCAGAGGGGAGGGGGGGCAAGGAGCTCGCACCACTGGTTCTTTTAGTCTCTGTTGCACACCTGCCTGGCAGGCCTGCAGCCGAGCCTGCATTGGCTCTTGTAGCTGTTGCTTCTATCTCATGTGCCTGCCCAGCAGGGTTGCACTAAGTGCATGCTGGCTCCTACTGCTGTTTCCCCACCTCCTGCCTGTCCTGTGCCTGCTTGGCAGGGCTTTGTGAGCAGCTGAGCTCCTTCACATTCCCCCCCTATATCCACATACTCCCCTGCCCTGCATGAGCAGGACCAAAGCAAGCTGCAGGCAGAGCCCATCCCACTGCCTGCTGTCTGGAGCGGTATAGCAGTCACTGGAGGCTGGGGGAGACCAGCAGTTCTTTGGGCAGGGTCAGCAGCAGCCCTGTTCGGAAGCTGTGTCTGCTGGCTGGGCTGGTGCCCTTCAGCAGGGGAGGCTGGGAGGAAAGCATGCACTGCCTCAGGCAGGACTCAGCCCCATGTACAGCATGGCAGGGGCAGCCTCAGTCAGGGCTGGATACAATTACTTGGTAGATGCCTGCCTGCAGGCCAGATCCAATCAGCTGGCAGGCTGGATCTGGCCCAAGGGCTGTATTTTTCCCACCCCTGGTTTAAAGTATGCTGATCCAAAACAGTAAACTCACATTTTGTATTAAAACATACATTTTCTAAATTTATTAAGTAATACATTAGTTAAAGAATCCATGTCAAAGAGATGGCTGACTAATTATAAAACCATTTAGGAGGACTTAAAAGGACATGCAGAAGCCAATGTGTAGTTTTGGGTCCATCATGCAGTAGGATATAGTTATTTTTGCCATCCTATACATGGTCATTAGTTTCAAGAAATTGCGTAGTTGTTGCATTTCTTCCACCCCTTTGTTTTATCTCTTTTACCAAACTAGAAGCCATAGAGTGTGTCCAGATGAGTGTGCACGTGCCTCTTGCACCATCTCAAACTCCTTTGAGATGGTGCAAGAGGCACGTGTGGGAACAAAAAAAACATTTCCCGCACTGCAAATTTGCAGCATGGGGGCAAAATTAGACCCCTGGATATCCAGGGGTCAAACAGTACCCCAGGGGAAAAAAGAGGAGGCAGGGTAGTCCATACAGGCAGGGTAGTCAATGTGCTGTGTGGGGGGGCTCTGCCTTGTGGGGGTAGGGAACCCACCCCTCCTAAGCAGCCCCCACACCTACAGCCCCCCCACACCTACCCACACAGTGACTTGCATCCTTCCACACCCACCCTCCTCTTGCAAGCCCCACATCCTTCCATCACACACCCACCATGTGATAAGGAAACCAAAAGCAAGCATTAAAACATAGATACTTATGATTTATTTTATTACGATGCTAGAGACACTGGTAGGCTTCCAAATTGCTTTAACATTATAAATATAGCAATAAAACACTGCCCATCTGATCAATCCTTTTCTCTCTCTGTTTTGTTCTAATTGTAGAAGAATGGATTTTGGGGTATTTTAAAAAGTGAGTTTGGGATGCAGCTTCAGCAGTCTAGCTGACACAAAGGGCTAGTGTCCCCAGACATGGGCGACTGGTGCTGTGTTGGGGGGCAGTGACCAGTGCTGCCGACTGGGGAGGGTCCCTCCATGGCCGATCTTGCTGGCCGGAGAGTGGAGGGGATCCCCCCTGCAGAAGATCCCGTAACAGCTGATCACTGTGGCTGATTGCTGCAGCTGCTTCTGGGAGTGGCTGCAGCAATTAGCTGGCACTTGCAGGGGGGGCTCCCACTTGCCCCCCCACCCACTGCCTAAGTGGCAAGTGTGGCTGGTCAGGGGATGTAACCCTTTGCACACCCTATGCATCACCACTGTCCCCCAGATACCAAGTGGTATGGTGCAGGATGTGTGGGGGACAGTGATACCAGAAGCTCCTGAGGGCAAGTAGCTCTGAGCTGCTGGCCGGGGCAGGTTTTTATACTGCTGGGGCCAGCACAGGTGCTGGTCCCAGGCTCTAGCTCCCTCTGGCTAAAGATCCAGGAGGAGTCAGGCAAGGTTCTTTTGCCTCTAGTGACACAATTTGCTCCACAAAGTGCATGTTTGGGCATATGTGCTGAGGCAAAAAGCCCCGGCTCAAATTTGCACTGCTTCTACATGAGCTGCTGCAAGTGCACATGCTTACATGTCTGGATGCACCCATAGGTGTGTAGGCAGAATAAAATTCTTCCATGTGTTACAACACAAAGAGAAATAATGTGACATATACTCTCCTCTGAAACTTAAGTGTTTCATCTGTGCAATATGCAGTAACAGAAGTTGGGCATGAGAGGCCAGAAAATTGCTCCCTGCCTGTGAATACTGAAAACTTCTACTGTATTGCCCTGCCAAACTAATCTATAAAAATACTTTTACAGAATGTGCTACTATATTTGTATTATATGTATTTATAGTACTTATATACAAAATAAAATGTATTCTCAAATAAGACCTGTCCTTTTCTTTACATCTCCTCCTAAGCACCATAGCATTGCCCTCCTGTAATCTCAAGGAATGATAGTAAATAGATCTTGTCTGAGTCTTAATGTTCTTCCTTTTGGACACAATCTTCTCCCAATGGATAAAGTACAACAAGCTATGACTTCAAACATCATATTTCCTTTTTATAGCAAACAAATACATAAGATATGAGATTCTCCTGAGGTTCCTTCCAACCTTAATTTTCTATGATTCTTTTTTTATTTTAGGAAAGATTTCAGTTGTATTGAGTAAGATCTTTCTGTCCCTGTTTTGCTTTTAGGAATACTGAATACATGGTTTTGGTCAAATAGAACTCAAATATTTTATACATTTATATTGTTTTTCAACTTTATATAGTATTTAACTACTTTGTCCTCATGCTGTCTCTCATTTGCAAGATAACCCTTCATTTTGCCAAAGCAACAACATGTAACACAAAGTATGTTTGCTCTTAATTTCAAAATGGAAGTGACCATTCTACTTTCTTAACCCTGCCACCCATTTCCCTCTACTTTCTTATCTGCTGACTGCTGATGGCTTTCAAAGTGAGATCATTGCACTTTCCTTGTTACTTGTGTCTAAACTTTATTTGTTGGAATGTCTTTCTCTAAACTACAATAGGTTAATAAAATTTCTTTGAGTGATGTTATCCTAAGATCGCTGTGGGGAAACAAATATGGATGCTGCTGCTTTTTAAGGACTGGAAACAACATAAAATATTATTTTTTTCACCTGAATAGTTGTCTGCATTCCACTATGACTTGTAACTCTTTGTTCATCTATAAATGCATCACATGATCCCTCATGCAGATGTGCTATCTTTGTTTACTCATTGCCTTTTATTTAGAATACTGAGAATATTTATTTTATTATACAGGCCCCCAGTGATGCTGCTTCTCCAGAGATGCACTATACTCCTCTGCCTTCAGGATCCAGGGACCTCACTAATCACAGAGGTACGAACTGAGTTGTTATTGCTAGGAACTGCTACATGGTGGTAAACTTTGCTGTAAGGCCTTCTCTACTCATTGCTCTTCACTGGCACTTTAGAAAAAAAAACTGTGCCTTTCAAATGGTTGATTAGAAAACCATACCTGTCAAGACTACAAATTTTAACTCATATTAAACAAGATTTAGAGGTAGTCTACTGGGAAAGCAAACAAATCTATGGCATAAAAATGTTTTCCTTTTTTATCATAAAGAAATTTGAGTACTTATAAGTTGCTAAGTAGGTGCTTATATGCAGCATTAGTAATTTTTGGAGAATTTGTAAACTTTCTATTATTTATGAGGAGAGAGTTATTTTGCAATTTAACAATTTAGAGCTATAATTTCAAAATTTTAGTACACATTTAGATTGCAATAAATGAGGATTCAGCTCTGTTTTTCTACATTAGAGGGGGATCAGTGTTCAATTTCCTTTAATACTGATCTTTAGAAGTTAAACTCCTTGGGCAAATTCGGAGATTCCTTCTGCATGCCTGTGGAACACAAAATTCAGAAAGCAAGTGAAGGACTGTAGCTACTATAGGGAAAGCATTACAAGCCATTTCAATGTTTCAAAAAGAAGCTTTATAAAATTTGCATCACTTTTCATCTAGAAATCAGAACAGCAATTTCTCTCTATATTTTCATAGTCCCTCATTTGATTCTATTTAGTTTTAATATTAAAAGTATTTTCCCTTTTGTAGTCATGTAATGCACATGCATTCTTTAGTTACAAGGCAATCATACTTTCTCATTGCTAGCTTAGTTCAAGCCAGTCTTATGCTCAGACACTAATAGTGAGTTGGCTTCCAATCCTCCTTGGTGTGCTGAAACAGACTCGACCTCTTTTAATGATTTTTGAGACCCAGAAGGGTTTACACTGTCTAATACAACTTGATGCTTTCAAAATATTTGAAGGAACTTCCATGAACTTGGCCAGTGATATCCATCTGCTTCTGATCTCCAGGGTGATCAGTAAGAAATGCTGCAATTGAGGTATAGAGAAGACAATGAATGCCAACTCTTCTTGTCACGCATGTTATGTTATAAATAATATTTCTAATAGAAAAACTATGAAACCCAGTTCTTTACACTTTTGGGCTGTTAAAAAATCATATAAATACCGTTTGAAGCCTAATTTCTAAGTAAATGTGACCATTTTCAGAATGGAATTCTGCTGGATAAGATGAGGTAAGGTCTGGTCTGAAAAGTACATAAAAAGTGCTTAGGACCTTAACCAGTTGTTTTAAACTGGATCAATGCAGTCAAGCATGGGTAATGCAAATGATAATGGATTACAGGCCTAAGTCATGACTGACCTGAGAATCTATTCTTTATTGTCAGAAAGCAGCTAGTGGTATTGAGCAGCAGAAGCATGTCCCTAGATTATAGATAGATTTCTCAGGCAATGCAGTGCTTCCTTGTAGCAGTATTTAGCAGCCAGAGTATGTCTTAACATAATGTATATTTAGAGCTACATCAACAGCTTGTTGAGTCCCATTACCATCAATAGAATTTGAAGATGTTTGAGCAGTGAATATCTCTTATTTTTCCCCTTTGCTCTTTCTCTCTGGACATTCTGAAATAGATAGGTGGAAGAATTCTGCAATTAGAAATAAACACAATAAGCTCTTCACTGGTACTTTTGGGGTATCTTGATCATGGAACCTAGTACATGCAATGTTATGCAATTCTTTGTCATTTCCTCTGTTCCCTATTTTCTAAAAATTTGCATAAGTGCATCCTGCTGTTTTCCTTGATATTATGCATTTATGTGTTTGGAGCAGGTGGGCAGACCATATAAAACCAGGCGAAATTGGCCCTGGAAAGACATTGTCTTTCTTCAACAAACAGTGTGTAGGTATCCTCAAGGAAATGATTAAGAAAGCTTTCCGGAAATCCAGGTGCTATAAATAAAGCTTGGAACAACTTGCTGGCAGGGTTTACCCAGCCAATCAACTGGTTCTTTAAAACAAAGAAAAAGATTTCCAAGTCTGTAATCTAAAGAAGGCTTAATTGGAATCAACAGAGAAACTTCCAGGAAAAGAATCAAACATGTTAACATATCATTTTGGGGTCTGGACTCCCAAAGTGTTTCTCTCCCTGAATGCTCTTAGTTTCTCATAAAATGATGAAATCTTCTGCTGCACATGTAAGTATTGGCTGCTTTCAACCCAAACTGAAAAAGAGATCGGCCATGAGTTTGTGAGTTTATTTGTCCCTGGAGGGACTTGTTTACTAGACCATGAATCACTGGCAAACAGTGCAGTGCAGCTGTAAATTAAGTCTTCTTGGAGACTGGGGGGAGTAGCAACAGCAGCAAGTCAAATGCATTTGATTGGCAGTTTTACTTTAACAAGTTTCACTTTAACTATTTTATTTCTCACTGGGAGCAAAGGCATCTAGTTGTGTTCATCCTTTGCCATTTACCACATCATCTTTGTGTTTTACAGTATTTTCTCATCTTTTGGGAATCATCCATCCCTTGGCTTGCACACACTACTTTCAAGGATTTTACAAGGCACGTTATAGAACTCTCCAAAATGCCACATTAAAATATTGTGGGAATAATTGGTGTGGTTATACTGATTATCAAAGCATTGTGATGGATGACAGAGAAAATAGTTGGTGTCCACTAGGGCTGTGTGAAGCTACAGTCCCTGATTCAATTCAATGGAGTTTCGGCCCACTTCAGTGGCTGAATCTCAGAATCCGAATCAAATCAGGAGACCCTTTAATTTCTCTGAATTGAATCGGAACCCTCCAGAAATTGATTCAGAGAGATTCGGAATGATTCGGCGATTCGGACATAGACATACCTTTAAATGTTTTTCTACATACCTCAAGGTAGCAGGCAGCTTGTGAATGCTGAGATGCTGGGGCAGATGGAGTGCCCCACAGTGGGGAGGGGGTTCCTGGTGTGCTCAGCAGCAGACCTGGAAGTGGACCAGAAGTAGTTCTAGTCCACTTCTGGATCCACTGGGGAGCACTCTGGGGCCCCCCCTATGCTCCCACAGTTTGGCAGCTGGTGCCTCCTGGCTTTGGGTGGGGACCTGGAGTCCCCCCATGGCCAATCATTGACTCAGTGGGGTCATGGGGGGGGCCACCCTGCATGCGCTCGGCGGCAGACCTGGCAGTACTTCCGGTCCACTTCTGAGTTCGCCGCCAAGCATGCAGAGGCCCCCCCACTGCAGTCCTGTGGGATGCTCCATCCGCCCCAGTATTTCAGCATTCACATGCTGTGCCTGGTACCTCAAGGTATGTAGAAAAAATGTTTAAAGCTGTGCCTATGTCCAAATCACTGAATCTCTGAATCAGTATTGAATTTTCGGATTTAGCCGAATTGAATCAGGGACACTGATCTGAATTCAACTGATTGAATCACTGTCCCTGATTTGAGCCAAATCCAAATCTGAATCAAATACAGCCCATTTCACGCACCCCTAGTGTCCACCCTGTTTCCTAGTACAGCTACCCTGGGGGACAAATGGCTATAAAATTAAGCTAATGTAAGTTATACCAGTGTATCTGCAGTTATCTTGAGGTAGCCATCTGCTCAATGTAAATAAGCTTCTTATCTGTTTTGCCTACATCTAATGGAAAGGTACTGTACTGGTGTCTACTGCAGTAGCTACCCTGGGATAACTAGTCATCTGTTAAGCATGACTAATATGCCGCGTGTCCATGCCCTTGAACCCTGGTTCCCTCCACTCCTGAGTGAGGTTCCGATCCCCTCATATTCTGGTTGGCTATAGTTGAGTTCCAGTGTTTGAAGAGCTCTTCCCTCTTCCTCTCACCTCATCAACATCAGATAGGAACCAAATTTGTTATCTTCTATGGATCCTACTACATGTTTAAATTAAAGCCAGGCTGAAACCAGCTATAGAGTTGTTAAACAGTTTCAAGCACTAACTTTATAGCTGGCTGGCTCTTTTTATAGATGGATAGTCATTTTTATCATCTGATAATTACTTTGCACATGTGGCTGGTCTAAATTTATTGTGCAATTAACCAGTTAGTTGTGTGATAATTACTTTGGATTTGTGGCCAGTCATACTTTGCACATGTGGCTGGTCTAAATTTATTGCGTGATTTACCAGTTAATTACATAATATAGGTAACATGTTGCAGGGGTGGACGTATTTTCTGTGGTGGTAATCCTACACTCAAGCCCTTTTATTGATTCCAGAACTGTGATCTTAAGTACTTCAGATGGATTGTTTGGCTATGTTAAGCCAGTCTTTTAGGTCTTAAGACTTTGATTTATGCAAATATTCAGTATTCCTCTATGCTGTGCGAAATATGAGCAGCCTTTGAAGCTAATGAAAATTTACTGAGACTAAGTCTGAAAAATAGGAGGCATTTGTCATCTCTCTCTCTTTTATATAATGGAAAATTGTAGATTTTTGCTGGAAAAACAAAAACAAATCCTTTGTTTCTACCTGGTCTCTAAGAAATCCATGAAACTGAGCATGAAGGAAATGCATTGAAATGCTTTGACATTATTGGTAAGAAAATCTGTTTCTCCCAAGAAAAAAACAATGGAAACAGTATTATTTTTAAACATATAAGTATAGCATTAAATGCCAAACAAGCAAAGTATTTCTGACCTGAGTCATGCATGTGATGTTTTTGTGGTCCTCTCTACACAATATAGGTATTGCAAAATTAATTGGTTAATTGTGTTATTACCTGGAGATCAGCTATATGTACAAACTATTACACAATAAAAAGCTCCAACTGGCTATAAAGTTACGTCTCAATGGGTGTATCTATGTGTGATGTTACATCACCACAGTGACTCCCACCTGAGCACCTCGAGGGCAGGGAGATCACCACAGTGGCGATCCTCTAGCCCCAGGGTGCTTGGGGTGCCCCCATGGTTGGGAATCCCTCACCTGGGGCGCATGGGCCTTCCAGCTGCGGGAGCCTGCCAGTGCAGAGGGAGCCTGGGATTGGGTTCCCCCTG